AAGTTCGGTAGTAGGTGGTGATGACATTGATGAAGGTGTCCAGGATTCTAAGAGTGTAAACCAAAGCCACATTCAAAGAAAGCTGCTACATTATTGGTGTTTTGTTTGACAGAATATAAGTGAATATTAAAATAACTGAGATTAACTTTATGTAATTTTTTGATAAAAAAAGAAAAGAGTTCTTGGGACAAACTGAAATGCTGTGTAACAGGGATTATATATGTGCTTAAACAAAGAACCGGAAATGACCTTTACATTCACCTAAAGACAAGTGGGGAGGAGCTCAAGTTGGCTTGGTCGTTTAAAACTTTTTATGGATTTGTTTTTAGACTTCTATATATATTCTAAAATTTTCAGACTATCTAGTTTTTTTACCTTTTTCATAGATGTGTAAATTTTGCAATTTTTTTCTGGATCAAATTGGTATTTAGTTTCAGTAAGGTGGGATGCAAAGGTTGAATGCATTTTCCTTAATTTCCGGCTTCTAAAATGTTTCTATGTGACGTCCTATTGGACCTATGTATACACTATTGTAGTCTTGACACATTAATTGGTAAACATCACTGTTGTTGTAATTTTCGATTCTGTCTTTGTTGTTGCACATGTTTCCTAGGTTGTTTTTACAGTAGAAGGCCGGTCTGTATATTTCTTTGTTCAGTATGTTATATATTTTGTGAGAAGGTTTTCCAATGTAGTTTATCTTAAATCTTTTGTTATTGTTGTCGTTTGGTACAATATGTGGATGTATTGATTTTAAATTTATGTCTTTCAATTTTTTATTTGTTATAGAAATTAGCTGCAGGTGAAACCCTTAGTGCCTTGCACAGATCTATAACTTGTCTATTCAATTATTATTGATAACTCATGTAGCACTAACTTTATGTATTTTGAACCAATTTTTCAGATAAGATCAAATAATTTCGAAAATAAAATTTTCGCCACACAGCATTTATTGATTTAAATGAAAAATAAATAGTAATTTGTATTTGTTACACACATATGCAACCGTCTTGACAAATTGTCGACTTTGATCTTTTATTATTTTTTTTTTTTCCAACGGTAGAGTCAACCGTAACCACAATAATCACGTGACTGGTTGATCCTTATATTCGTGCTTATATCTTGAAATCCAGACAGAACAGGTACGACAGCATCACAACATGATCTGTTCTACAAGGCAACTCTCTGTGAGTACTTATTGAATGTTTGTTTAATTAATAAAGCTTGAAATGTTCTGTTTACTATTGAGTTTTTGGAAAGCAATTCCTTTAGAAAAACTACCTAAAAGAAAGTTTCTTCGAATTATACGTTGCTTCGGGAAAAATTTATAAGCACAGACTTTGATTTGTTTTTTTTACCAAATAAGGAATTTGAAGAAATTTCACGTCCATGGTGATTTAGTTGATACCAAGTTCACAGAGCCGGACAAAGCAGTTGTGGGGGGGACACTGGCTGCCTTTCCTCTGGTCAGTAGCCAAAAATTAGGGACGGATACACCCGAATTCTAGTCGTTCACGTGCGCATGAGATTCCTTTCACGTAGAAGATTT